GGGTTGTGTTCGTACTTTCGCAAATTTGTTGAAGGATTTGCATTAATCGCTAAGCCTTTATATGACATACTGAAAAAAGATGCCACGTTTACTTTTACTGAAAAGGAGTTAAATGCTTTTGAGGCTTTAAAATCTAAGTTAGTAGCAGCGCCGATATTGGCCATTTATGATCCCCATGATTATACCGAATTACATTGTGATGCTAGTTCACACGGCTTCGGAGCCGTACTGGTACAGCGTAAGTCAGACCGTAAATTGCATCCAATTTTCTATTTCTCTAAACGAACAACACCAACGGAGAGCAAATATCACAGTTTTGAGCTAGAGACATTAGCTATAGTATATGCTTTGAAAAGATTTAGAATATATTTAGTCGGTATATCTTTCAAGATCGTTACAGACTGCAATGCTCTTAAATTGACGTTACAAAAGAAGGATATTAATCCTAGAATTGCCCGCTGGGCCTTAGAGTTGCAAAGTTTTGAATATACAGTAGAACACAGGCCGGGCAATCGAATGAAGCACGTGGACGCACTCAGTAGATCCTTTAATATTTGCATCATAGAAGATAATCCGTTCGAGTATAACTTATCAGTTTGCCAGTCGCAAGATAAAGATATTATTGAACTAGTAGGAAAACTAGAGAAATCAGAAAGTCCATTCTTCGAGATGCGTAATGGATTGGTTTACCGTAAAAAGAATAATGATCTGCTCTTTTACGTTCCTCAAAATATGGAAAATAATATCTTGTTTAGATATCATGATCAAATGGGGCATCTGGGGGTAGAAAAAACTATGGAGGTAATACTTAAAAGTTATTGATTTCCTGATTTAAAAGCGAAAGTAAGAGCGCATATCTCTAATTGTTTGAAATGCTTAGCATATTCTCCACATTCGGGAAAAACAGAAGGCATTTTGCATCCGATACCAAAAGGAAACACTCCCCTGGACGTATTGCACATTGACCACTTGGGACCCATCGATAAACGGTGTGCGACAAAAAAGTATATTTTCCTAGTTGTAGATGCGTTCACAAAATACGTCAAGTTGTACGCCACAAAGACCACCGCAAGTAAAGAAGCTATTAAAGCACTATTCGATTATTTTAGCAACTATAGTAAGCCTCGAGTTATTGTCTCCGATAGGGGCTCTTGTTTCACTTCGCAAGAGTTTAAGAGTTTTGTTGATAAGCACGTTATTAAGCATATATTGATAGCCACTGGTTCCCCTCAAAGCAATGGTCAGGTGGAACGAATTAATCGCGTAGTGATTCCTATGTTGGGCAAGCTTGTAAATAAAGAGAAAGATCAACTTTGGTATGACGTGTTACCGCAGATCAAACACGCTTTAAACAACACGATAAGCAAAAGTACAAATGAAACACCCAGCCAATTGCTTTTTGGAATCGACCAACGTGGCACAGTAGATGACCTGATCAAGGAATACTTGAGTTCGAGCGTAAATGTTAAAGATAGAGATCTAATAGATATTAGAGCAAGGTCTTCCGAAAAGATAGCGTCTTCTCAGGAATATAATAAATGATTAAAATAACATGCCAACATTGTGATATTGCTTCATAAGTTTTATCATTTAGTATATTTACCTTAGTTACAATAAAATCAGTTACAGTTGCAGTAAAACGTATAATGGTGCGGTAATATAAGATATAAGATTCTCCTTGACATACATTAATTGATCTGCTATTACTGTTTTAAGCTCGCTGAATTCGGGCCTCAGAACTTCTAAACATCTCTGAAGAACCTAATAAGAATTACCTGTATGTGAAAATTTAATTTATGCAGCAAAACATTATATATCATGCCAATGTTACTCCAAAAGTGACACTGGAGTATTTTAATAACTTAAACGTTCTCTAAACCACTGAGACATTCACCTTTCTTCATTATAACACTCCGACGATGGTCAGATCCATCCCAATAACTGAATTTGATCTCAATTTCTTCTTCCTTCAACGCGTTCTGCTTTCTAGCCCATTCTTGTCTCAATTCTTTCCTAAGTTTATTTTCCTCCTCGTCCCTTTCCTTACTGGCAAAAAACATGTATCTACATCTGGATTTTTCTAAATCTTCTTAATCGCAGGGCCATCAGATTGCACATTTTCTGACTACGGGGATTTTTCGGCATTGTCTTCGTCAGAAGACATCTCAGCTTCATCTTCGTCTTCGTTCAGATTAAAAGACAAAGCTTGAATCTGTCTCTTCTGTTTGTTCTTTTCTGTCTGCTTCGCCGCTAGTGCTCTTTCCTTTTCCTGCTCTTTTTCACGTTCCTTCTATCAAAGCATAAAATACACGTACAAAAATACAAATTATGAGATAATCAGGATCATAAGAAGATTGTAAAAAATTACTTGTGGGTATCAGGATTCGTGAATGTTCGCTCAATTTAACGGCGGATTTTCTCTTGCATTCCGCGTGACCACGTAAGACCGTGCGCGTGACCGACGGTACATGCACATTTCGTGGCATCTAGCCTTAGCATCTTTGTGATAT